ATAATATTTCTCAGTCCCATAGAATTTGTTTTGATAACTTTTGATTTTGAAATTTTAGCAAAAGTCGTTATAACCAACTTATGAGATTGAAAATGAAAAGCGTGGGGCGCATATAATAGCCACCTGAATTGATATGAAGGGTAATATATGTTCATATGTATGTGGATATATGAATAACGACCGCTTAAAATCGATCTCAAATTTGTACTTTCGATGAAGAAATTATAGGTCTATGTTATGTAGTTTGCCTATTGTCAATTAAATATAATGCTTTGTATTGCATGCGCCCCACGCTTTTCATTTTCAATCTCATAAATTGGTTATAACTAAAATTTCAAAATCAAAAGTTATCAAAACAAATTCTATGGGACTGAGAAATATTATTTTCTACTTTTTAGTCCATTTATAAAAGCGTTGTATATTAAAAAGTTTTTTTTATATTATTTATTTTATACTTTTTAGTCTTGTCTGTATAAAATTTTGCGATAGATATTAAAATAATNTAGCAACACCGATAATACCATTGGTAGCTAAATCGATTAGAAAATCGATATAAATATCGATAACATAATCGATTAATATCGATAACAAAATCGATAAATATCGATAACAAGATCGATAAATATCAATAACAATCGATTTATATCGATAATCAAAATCGATAAATATCGATAGCAAAGTGGATAAATATCGATAACAAAATCGATAAATATCCATAACAAAATCGATAAATATCGCTAACAAAGTCGATAAATATCGATAACAAAATCGATAAGCATCGATAACAAAATCGGTGAATATCGATAACAAAATCGATAAATATCGCTAACAAAGTCGATAAATATCGATAACAAAATCGATAAGCATCGATAACAAAATCGGTGAATATCGATAACAAAATCGATAAATATCGCTAACAAAGTCGATAAATATCAATAACAAATTCGACAATTGTCGACAACAAAATCGATGAATATCGATAACAAAATCGATAAGCATCGATAACAAAATCGATAAGCATCGATAACAAAATCGATAAGCATCGATAACAAAATCGATAAGCATCGATAACAAAATCGATAAGCATCGATAACAAAATCGATAAGCATCGATAACAAAATCGATAAGCATCGATAACAAAATCGATAAGCATCGATAACAAAATCGATAAATATCGCTAACAAAGTCGATAAATATCAATAACAAATTCGACAATTGTCGACAACAAAATCGATGAATATCGATAACAAAATCGGTTAATATCGATAACAAATCGAAAAATATCGATAACAAAATCGATAAAAATATCGATTATTTTATCGATAGGTCTCGAGAATCCCGAAAATCTCTAAAATCCAAAAATAGTTCCCAAATTGACTCTCTGTGTCTCTCTCTATATCCTTTCCTCTTTAATTGCCTCTATTTTATTCTTTCTTCCCCTATCTTCATCTTTGCTTTCATCGGTATCCCCATCATCCTCTTTGTCTTTACTTCTATGTTAATCATTTTTTTCAGCTACATATTCCCCTTCACATTTGTTCTTATATATATAAGTAAAGTGTTTAGATTTACCTTGGTCTTCATTTTTGCCTTTATCTTTACGCATCTTTGTTTTTGTTGTTATTTTTACCTTTGCCTTTATCCTATTCTTCATTTATGTACGTAGTCACCTTTACTTTCATTCTTGTATTGGTCTATTTCTAAGTGTTATTCTTTAACCTTTTGTTAGCAAATTTTCGTTAAATTTATACCATATGCATACACATAAGAAGCACTTGTTTCAGCCCCAACCATTTACGTTGCACCATTTCTGTTGCATCATTTCCTTTGCATATACACAAGAAGAACCTGTTTCAGCCCCAATCATTTCCGTTGCACCATTTCCGCTACATCACTTCCGTTGCATCATTTCCGTCCCAACCAGATCCGTGTGCAATTTNGTTAGCAAATTTTCGTTAAATTTATACCATATGCATACACATAAGAAGCACTTGTTTCAGCCCCAACCATTTACGTTGCACCATTTCTGTTGCATCATTTCCTTTGCATATACACAAGAAGAACCTGTTTCAGCCCCAATCATTTCCGTTGCACCATTTCCGCTACATCACTTCCGTTGCATCATTTCCGTCCCAACCAGATCCGTGTGCAATTTCCGTTGAATTTGCCAATTTTCTCCCAACCAACCAACCGCCGCTAAAGAAGTTTCACTTCAACAATTTATGTTTTCATCAGTTAAATGTGCTTCATATGCATATACAAATAAACATATTGCACAAAAGCATATACTTCTATTTCACACCAAAGCTACACTTTTGTCGTCCGTCAGTGACGATAAATTCAAACATGTTTGTTTTTCTCGTCCGATGNAAAATCGGACTAGCACAAAAGCATATACTTCTATTTCACACCAAAGCTACACTTTTGTCGTCCGTCAGTGACGATAAATTCAAACTTGTTTGTTTTTCTCGTCCGATGTCAGGTGAAAAGTACCAAGATGGACTGCGAAAAAATAACTTATTAGGTGCGAAAACAACAAAATTACATATAAAATCACATGTTTAGAGTATGTCAATTAAAGTGTATCAAAATAATTCACTGCTTACAAAATTGTAATGAAAACTAGATTTGTGTGTACAAATACGGTCGGCAAATAATCTGGTTAAGTGTGCGCATCAATTCGGACGGTCAAATTGTTCTCGACCCTATTAAGCTGGCATTTCAGGGTACTATTTTATATATATATAAGGAAAATTTGAAAGTTAGGGGGGCTCGAGCACCCCCCTGCCCCTACCTGGCTACGCCCATGTATGTATGTAGATAAATGAGTTAATTCGAACTCAAATAAATATGTTTATAAATCCCACTTATGCGCATAGTACGTACATATGTATGTAGTTTTAAAGTATCTACATACGAAAATTAAATTTCACACAATAATCTTTTGGTCCCACTTGATTATCAAAATTTCCTTTATTATACAACTCCGCTTATCGGACTNGATAAATGAGTTAATTCGAACTCAAATAAATATGTTTATAAATCCCACTTATGCGCATAGTACGTACATATGTATGTAGTTTTAAAGTATATACATACGAAAATTAAATTTCACACAATAATCTTTTGGTCCCACTTGATTATCAAAATTTCCTTTATTATACAACTCCGCTTATCGGACTAATGATATATGACCCAACATAATCTTATTTTGCGGTAGAAACAGCAAAACAATTATTATTTGTGAATTTCATTCCATTTGCTTTTAGAATAAATGGCAGCACACAGTTCCCGAGCGCAAGACGAGGCCAAAGCTGTTGCTGAGCCATTAAATGAAAAGGACGAGGATTACGAGATCGACGAATCGACGGCAGCGGTGGTGGTTCCACCTGATAGTGGATGGGCATGGGTTGTGATGTGTGCATCCTTTTTGTGCTGCACAGTTCTCGATGGTATTGTTTTCTGTTCCGGCTTAATTCAAGAAGATTTAATAAAAGAATTTCAAGTGAGTAAAGGCTATGCAGCACTTGTGTCTTCAATTCTCAGCGGTTGTTATTTAATGGCTGGACCATTTGTCAGTGCAATGGCTAATCGTTTCGGTTTTCGGCCAGTTGCAATAACCGGCGCCCTATTTGCGGCTGCCTGCTTTGGTATCTCATATTTTGTTAAAAGCATTGAGCTCCTGTTCATAACATACGGTGTTCTCGCTGGAATAGGATTTTCTATGGTCTATATACCGGCCGTCGTCATTATAGGCTTCTACTTTGAGAAGTGGCGCGCTCTTGCTACAGGTGTTGCTATGTGTGGATCAGGTGTTGGCACTATTGTATTTACACCATTGACCGAATTAACACTTAAGTCGGGATGGAGACAAACAATCGCAGTGCAAGCTTGTATAATCGCGTTTTGTGCCCTATTCGCATGCGCATTTAGACCAATACAGCCCATTACATTGGCTGTCAATGAAGAATCTAACGACGAAAAAGCTGCAAACGAGAAACGCAATGGCCATGGCAATGTAGTGGCACCCAAACCTCAACTCCACCAAGCTGCATTCACTAAACCATTGCCGGAAGGCCGTTTCGCATATTCAATGCCAAATTCAGCACATAACACATACATGGGTGCATCGCCCAAGCATCACTACCCCACAGCTGCCGAAGTTTTCCGAGGTGCTAATATTGAACGCCGTCTGTCAAATTCCTCCGGCAAAGGAACCGAATTGAAAGCCTTGCGAAAATCGCAGCCCACCACACCGAACGGCGAGCCACAACCATCACAACTTCATTTCAATATTAACAAGGAACTAACAACGGTCGGAGAAAATGAAGAAGAGACTGAGAACGAGAACTTGATCGAAACCGAGTCAAAGCCGGTGGTAATACAGGCACGTCGTCATACTGTATCTGGACGAAGGCCAAACGACACTGTCGGTAAAAAAAGTGCGGTCGGATCTCAAGATACCGTTCACAATATTCACACGAGGCCAATGTACCGAGATGATATCTTCTTTACTGGTTCTTTGGCTCGCATTCCACAATATCAATCACAAACCTCGCTCGCCTATCATATGTCGGTCACGCGTCTTCCCACTAAACAGGACATGCTCGAAGATCGACAGAAAGGGTGCCGCCTCTGTCCTGAAGCAGTTCGTCGCACATTATCAACTATGTTAGATACTTCTCTGCTTAAGTCACCTTCCTTCATGTGCTTGTCATTCAGTGGCTTTCTAACTATGATGGGCTTCTTCGTGCCCTTCATGTACTTAACACCGCGTGCCCAAGATGCAGGTATGGATAAGCAGACAGCTCTTGGAGTGGTATCCGGTATTGGTTTAGTCAACACGATTGCAAGGTTAGTTTGCGGTACGGTTAGCTCGATTCCCAGCGTGAAGCCACTGTGGTTGAACAATGTAGCCATAACCGCAGGCGGCCTGGCGACTATCTTCAGTGGAATTAAAATAACCGTTGTAACTCAGTGGGCATTTGCTGTGTTCTTTGGCATGTGTATTGCGTGTTTCTCAGCGCTGCGTTCTCTTATTGCTGTGGAAATGATTGGACTAGAAAAACTCACCAACGCATTTGGTTTCCTTATGCTGTTCCAGGGAATCGCAGCAACAGTCGGCGCTCCTATCGCAGGTCAGTTAAAGAAATGTGCAATAATTTTAAACAAATACTTAAGAAATATACACATACATATCGTCGCGACGATATGTATGTAAGTTCTGCCTTAATAGTCTTAATTCATTCTTCTTCGCTTTCGTTTTAACATTTATTGCTTCTTCATATAAATATTTGTAAGGCATGAGTGTGAAAGATTGTGAGCTAATTAAGTTGTGACATTTCGAATCACGTTCAATAACTAGCATTAGGATAAGACGCCTGTTTTTTAATTGAACAATAAATATCTTTGATAACGATATTTTTTATCGTTATCACCAATAAGTTAACTAACTCGTAGCACTTTTTATATGATTGTACACAAACATTGTACATTACAGTAGTTTAGTATACACTTTTAATTACATGCAATTACTTATTGTTGATAGTACTTGGTTAGTAACTTATTTGCATCTTGAAAGTTTTGAGACTACTTGAAAATAATACTTGACAAACAAAATGATAAGAGATGCGCAAAAACACTTTATGTGCCGCAAATAAAGTTCGTACATGCGTGTGTGTGTGTGATAACCCCCCTAGTTTGAGACCCTCCAGTNAAGTTTTGAGACTACTTGAAAATAATACTTGACAAACAAAATGATAAGAGATGCGCAAAAACACTTTATGTGCCGCAAATAAAGTTCGTACATGCGTGTGTGTGTGTGATAACCCCCCTAGTTTGAGACCCTCCAGTACTGCTGGAGTCAATCGCTACTTTTGAACCGCTACTG